CCCGTCCCCTTCGTTCTACCAAAGCTAAGCACGTGCCCAATACAGAGAACACGGAGTCTGGGAGCAGAGCTGCATCTTCCAGATTTGCTCTGGCATCAGCAACCTGTTGAGATAACCAGAAAGCTAAAATAAGACATTGCGTTTCAGACTTTGCCTTTCCCAGCATTCAGGCCTAAAACCTCCTCTAACAGATGATCAAACGGCTACGCACAGTTGGGAATCCTCACTTCATGAAAGTTGCTACAAGTCTGGATTGGGAGAATTGAATTGGCCACAAGTCCAATTAAACACAATCCAGAATTTTCTGCTAAACATCCAGATTTGCTACAGGCTTCTCCCTTGTCATAACAGAAGAGAAAGAGAACAAACTGAATAAGCTGTATTTCTTTTTATTTCTTATTTGTAATTGTTTTGGACAACTTACTTAATCAACATTATTATGTAGGAAAGCCAAAAAATGTTGTTCCTTACCAGTCACAAATCGATACTGATTCCAAATCATGGAAAAAGGACTGTATAATTAAAATATTGCTACACATCATGCAAAAAGACAGCAGGAATTAGTCAAAAAGCATATTTTTTCCCCACAAAATCACTTTTTCAGAAAACTCTCAAGTATAATTTTAATCTTGGTTAAAGTGTTCTATTTTTGAGAGGCAAATGGAAAACCATCTTTTTGTTTTAAAATACTCTTTTAAAATTTTAAACAAAATAYTTCTTAAGTTCCTCTCTTTTGAAAACGGAAAATGTGGCGCTTTTATTAACACTTTTTCCCAGAGTCACTAAAAGCTTTTAATGAAATATCAATACCCTTCCCTGAACAATGTTGAAAAATTAACTTATTCAATAAAATTATATGAAGCTTTCACCCTAGCTTCAGAAAGAAGCTAATTTTCAAATTAGCAAGTGCCAGCACTGGGCTAAGAAATGCTGGCTTTGAATTTATAATGTATGTGTATAAAAAACAGAGAGGAACGACAACGCACTAGCTACTATTATACTATTATATACTATTAAGCCTGGATGTATATCTTGGAAACAGATTCCRTGACCGTTAGTCATAACCCAACTTCCATTAAGTTTTCGATTTCCCTGGGCTTTTGTTGAGCCTCTGGGATCATGTAATGTTAACCCTAGGGACGGCTTTACTGAGCATGCTGTGGTCGCAGTGAGTAATACTTCCTCACCCGAATAAGGCATTGGATTTTTTAAGGCCTTGTTCAGTAGCCCTTACTCATACTGAGGAATACTCACTGCACCGAGAGTACTGGCGTGTATGCTAATCATTCTCAGCCTGGAATAAAAAACAACTCACACGTCCGTCTGAGTACGGCAGTTTTGCCCCACATGTCTGTGTACCTCTTGACATGCAAAAAATCTGCTCTTGTTTACAGGCAACCTGCTGGACGTTGCCTGGCTTGCAGAGCGTGCAGTTATGGAGCTGTATATTGTTCCTATGGGAATCAGCATGGCACCAAGGAACAGCAAACCTGGATCCATGCTCACACTAGCTTTAAAGGCAGTGTAATCATTAATGCTTAAACTACTTTTAAAGACAGTATASTCATCTGTATACTTTTGCTTCTGATAAATCCATAACGTACAACTAAGCCAATATGTGAGATGCAATTCTAACGTCTGAGTATTGCACACAAAAACCTATCAGTCTAACACCAGCACAGCTTAATACTCTGTAATGCTGAACCTCTTTCTGGAGAGAATTTCTCRTTCTTGGAATGACAAAGAAGCTGTAACACAGTTGAAGCATATGAAAAGAAAATGGAAAACAAAAAACACCCTCTTTTTAAGTATCCTTAGCTTTGCAACAAACATATGTACGTAGATAAAGTCGGGATAATTTACCAGGAAATACTACTAAAAAATAGTTAGCAAAGGAGAACCAGTATTATCTATCACCCTGCTTTCCTCCTGCTTTATTTAATCCTTGACATTTTTTAACCTATAGGAAAGGGAGCGCAGGTAGCGATGCTAAGAGCAGATGCAGGACAGGCCGGGAAGGAAAGCTCCTGGTTGGTATAAAGCATTTCCATCCGGCCGCTCCAGCCCCGGAACGCGGGCACTTCCTGCACTGTTGACTGCTAGAAAACCCAGCACACGCGAATATGCCCGACTCCGTGCTCTGTGCGGGACAAGCCCTGCTGCCAGCCCCGGCTCAGGCAGGCCCGGGTTAACCCCCTTGCACGGGGGCCAATCTCTGCGCCCCGCACGGTGCCTTTGAGCCCTCTTTACGGGGCAGGGACGCCGGCTGTCCCCTCTGTGCCACAGCRACGTGCTTAGCCCTCATGGCCACTGAAATTACAGCAGCATCTTCCCTGTCCACTTGCACTTTGTCTGCAGGGCTGCTGCTCCCTCAGCACGCTCTTGGGGTTTGTATTCCAGACCTAGGTTGCCCCTTTGTCTTTTTTTAATATCCATTGCTGATGGGGTTTTTTTTCTTGTTTTTTTTTAAGTATTTTACATTTTTAACAGTTTTTTTAAGAGTCTCTCTACTTACAAACTTTGTTTTAGAAAACCTTTAAGCAAATCTCTCTCTCTTCTATCACACCTTTTAAGTGAAGCAGCAAAATGCTCCGTACGTGGCAGTTGTTATTTGTGACATCAAGCCAACGGTGGCAGAGATGAGAAGACACCTCCCCAAACCTTTTTGTACCACTTGTGCCAAGGAAAGCTCTCTAGTAATTGAACTGGTTTGTTCCAGATAGTAACTTAATCTTCTGGCTTATTTTGATGCAATTCAGGAGAAATCACTGGCACATCACTGGTAAAACTAATATAAGGAAGGAAGAGAATCCAAACGTACATTTTAAGCTAAATTTAAGCCCAGACACAGGCTTGCTAGATCAAGGCAAGTACTCTGTACCATACATTACAAAGACAGCAAAATTTAGGAAGAAGAAAAAGAAAAAAAGTCGCTAGCTGTCTGCTTAAAATACCTTGTTAACAAGAAATGYTCTCCTGGCGTACCAGCTCTTCCATAGGCTCCTTATTTCCCACGCAGAGCATTTACCTTTAGGGAAGGTGTTAACATTAGTTTCACCTTCTCCCCGTAGCCTTGCCTTTCGGTAGGAAGAGGCTTATCCGTCACACAGGGCGCACGAAGCAAATAGCTGCTTTTGCACACGTCTGCACAGAAGCARCCTGGCTACAACACGGTTCTCCAAGCAAGGAAGACAAAGCGGGACTCCCCATCCATTAACTAAGCAGGGGAACCTGCCCTTCGGATCAAKAGGTCAAACGAGCATTTCTCAGGGTGACTGGTTTCCTGAAAACACAACTATGGCAACGTCTGTTCAAGTGACGCGGCCATTGAGGTCAAAGGGAGAGTCGGTGGATGTAGAAATYGTCCAGGAAAATATGATTTTAAAATCTTGGTTTATTCCTGCTGCCAGTCTCCTCTTGTCTTTTCATTATTTGACTTTCTTGCAGASAGCACACACATACAGCATGCACTTGTTTTATTGTGTCCTGAATTAGAAGTTAAATAAAATAAAAACAACCCTTGACATACCTAGTTCTTAATGGAATTGAATCCTTCCAGACTTTTCATCCACTCATTTCAATCAAATGAAGGGAAGAAAACAACATTACAAATACATCAAATAAGCCCCCAAGCGAGTTCATGTGTTCCTAGCAAATTAAATACATGGATGTTATTGAAGGAATGAGYACTCTTCTTGCAAGCCTTTCTCACTTAGCTCCATTTTGGTTTTAGTAACCTCAATTGCACTAATCACGGCTAAGGCAAGTGATACAACTTTTTATAAGGCTAAGGAGTTAGAAGAACACAACAAACAGTATTTCAGACAACGCAACCATGTTCAAGCAAGAAAGCAGAAACCTTGCAGATTTTTGTTTCCTGCACCCTTGCAAGGTGGCAGCTTGGCCTAGCTCTGGACCTGCCGTTCCTGCCTTCTCGCCACGCCAAAGCCTTTCCGCCAACAGACCAGAAGAGGCAYCGCGTTGCCAAGTGCCCGGCAAGCCTTATCCCGTCTCCATCATCGTGAGGAGCGCGCTTTCGCCACCCTACTCATAAGGTATCTCAGTGAGATGGCTGGATCTTGCAGGTCCGTGGCCGCCTGACCTTACRTGGACGTGAGAGCCATCATAACCCCTCAGAGCACCTCAGCATGGACTGGCTCTCCGCCCCATCCCACCCCCCTGTCCGTGGCATTTAGCCTTATACCTAAACACACTGCAAGGAAAGGGCTTCGGGAAGGACCATCCTGTGGGAATTTGTGGGCAGTTTGCAGGTGAGGAGCTTGGCCAAACCCTTCACTCCACCCCGGTGGAAAGAGACCCACAAATGGCTAAGGTGGCTCCAGAAAGAAAACCTCTGTATTAAAAGCCAAGGAACGCAGAACGACAATAATAAACACACGCTATCTCAGCCGGTAAATACAGTGTAAAAGGTTCATTAAAGTTCAACTTCAGCAATAACAATATATGCACTGTTCCAGCTCTTAACTCTGCCCCTTCTCCCCCCCCAAAAAGACTTTAGGTTAATAAAACAAAGGCTCAAAAAAGCTACTGTGACTACAACCAATGCGATTGACAGGGGAGAAAAAGAGGGATGGCGTCTTTCATTTCCTGCAGTGTTTTGTGTTTGGTTTTTTTTTTTGGGGGGGGGGGGGTCTTTTCTCTTTTTTACTAAAACGTTCTTTTAAAACGGGTAGTAAAGATACAAAACGCGCACACAGGATCTGGTCGTTTCCCGGCGCCGGGGCCGCGCTGCTCCCCTCAGACCGGGACGGAGGGGACGGGGGCACCGAAGGGGGCGCCCTCCGTAACGGCCGCCGCCGAGCCCCAACGGCCGCCGCGCGGGACCAACGGTCGCCGCGCGGGACCAACGGCCGCCGCCGAGCCCCAACGGCCGCCGCGAGGGACCAACGGCCGCCGCGCGGGACCAACGGTCGCCGCGCGAGCCCCAACGGCCGCCGCGCGAGCCCCAACGGCCGCCACACGCCCCGTGGCACACTTGGACACGCTTTAAACGAGACACAGACACGGCACGGGCAGCGCTACAGAGTCCGGTGCGGCGGGCGGCTCCCGCCTGCCTTGACACCACACGGCGGGAGCGGGGGCGCCCGGCGGGCGGGCGGTCGCTACTTGGCGGCGGCGGCGGAGGCGGCGGTGCTGCGGCGCTGCTCCATGCCGTTGGGCAGGAAGCCGGCGATGATGGGCACCGGCCAGATGAGGGCGGCCACGCTCCACACAATGATGACCAGAGTCATGAAGCACGCCACGAGCGTGGACTCGATGGGCTTGCGGTTCATGCGCCAGCCCGGCTCGCCCTTGAGCTCCTCCAGGCTGAAATCCAGGCAGCAGAAGTTGAGCGGCTCCCCTTGCAGCCAGTACTGGCCGGGCTCGGCGGCCGGCGGGTAGGTGAGCGGGGCGGCCGGGGGCTGGTGCGCGGCGCCCCGCAGGCGGCCGCCCCGCCGGCCGCGCACCCAGCTGCAGCCCACGCAGAGGCGCAGGTCCTGCTGCGCGCCGCCCGCCGCCAGCCCCAGGTGCTCGATGAGCAGCGGCGGCCCCACGCGGTGGAAGGCGGCCGAGAAGAAGGCGCGTCCGTGGCCGTTGGTGGAGAAGAGCAGCAGGTCGCACTGGATGCCCAGCGGGCGGCTCCAGCGCACGAGCAGCGAGCTCAGCATCTGCCGCTGCACGCTGATGTTGCAGTGCGGGTCCTCGGCGGGCTGCGGCTGCCCCTGCGGCCGCTGCTGCTGCCCGGGCGAGGTGGCAGCGGAGGAGGAAGGCTCTTGGCTAGGGGCAGCCGGCGGGCCCGGGCTGCTGGTGCTGCCGCTGCTGGTGCTGCCGCCTTCCTCCTTGCCGGTTGCCGCTTCGAGGTCCATCTCGAAGCTGGCCAGGGAGCGGGCGGAGGAGTTGGCAGCGGGCAAGAAGAGCTCGGGCTCCGGCTCCTGCTGCCCGCTGGCGGCCGCCGCGGGGCTCCAGCCGTGGCGGGGCGGCAGGCAGGCGGCCAGCAGAGCCGGCAGGAGCAGCGGCAGCATGGCATTGACTTAGCGCCGGAGAGGAGGCAGAGCGGCAGGAGGAAGGGGCGGCCGCATGGCGCTGCCGGCTGCCATCCGGCAGGCAGCGGCGGCGGGAGGCTCTGCCCGCGCCCGCAGAGCGAGAGGAAGGGGAAGGCGGGCGGGGGCTGGCGAGGGGGTGGGAGCGGGGCTG